TTAGGGCTCCCCAACCTGGGGTTTTATTTGGTATTGTCTTCTGAGTTTGCTAGAATGCCTTTCCTATGGGATCCATCTCTGTGCTGTGCTGGTGCTGAACGTTATTATATTGTCCACTCAACCTGCTGCAGTTACTTTACAGCCTTTGGAAGTTAGCAGCTTCCCTGACAGTCTCTCTCTTTTTCAACATGTCCACTAAAAAAACCCACGAAGGAAAAAAATGACCAGCTTTATGAATTTATCCATAATGTAAGAATTCTGGCAAGAAAAATAATATTTACCAGGACTAATGAGAAAATGAATGCATATTACTCTGGACTCGTCAAGTATATATATGCTTTAAGTGTTCAGCCCAAAGTATGCTAGCAGTAAACCAAGACAAATACAAATGACTAATTATGGTAAATGAAGATGAACTGAATAAAGCATTTCAGTTTATATAGATAGGCATATATATATATTAAACAAAACCCTGTTTAAATGCCTCTGATTAGAGGAACTGCCACTTCTTGTGCTGCCTTGAAATCCTACATGATGAGATTTTGTCATTTGCACAGGAGCCTGCAAAATCCAGCACTCTTGCCCTGCAGGAGTACTTTCCTTCTGTCTAAAGACAGCCCTGAACAGCAAGGTGTATGGACATTCACAGTAACTATTATTGTCATCTCTAACAGCTGCAGCTTTATCGCTATGATTTTAGTAGCCCATAATGAGTTGACAGACAAGTCTTGCTGTAAATCACTGGTTTCTGTTGGAGCATGCATAGAATTTATTTAGCAGTCATTACCATGGAGGACACTTACCGCATCCCTAATATTGAACCCTTCAAAAGTCATGGGACCATGCGGCATTGCAAATGTCAATAATTTCCATTGTGCTTGTATAATAGCATTTCCCCACAAACTGTCATCATTATTTACACAAAAAAGTTGCACAATGGAAAACTCCAGCTGCTATCGCATTTACCACCAACTCAAAACAAGTGCAGATTGGGGTGATTTCTTTTCCTACCACAATTGTTACTTTAGCCATTCTGTTTTTATTTACAATCTTCATTTCCCACCAGGCTGTAATGCATTAAATACACAAATTCACAGTCTGTTAGTAATATTTTCCCAATCCTCGTTCAGATCTTCTGACACACATGAAGTCTTGATTTAGAAGAAGAGGTGGCATCTTTCCATACTTTGCAAGAGAGCCCTTTATCACAGTCACATCGCTGGAAAATCTCCAGGCTGTGGGAGCCCTTCTTGCGTTGCTTGGTGCACACCTCCCCCTGCTGTAACACAGGTTTGCAAATTTTGGTCCAGAAATGGCGAGCACAGCAGTGCCCCTCAATGCAGTCAGACGAGCGTAAGCAGGGGTCCCCTTCATGTCCTAAAAAACAACCAAGGTATTTCAGTGCCTGAGAAAAGCTGAAAAACAGCTTCAGTGGAGTTTAGTTCAATGGCAACTAAGAAAGAAGGGATATGATGCTCATCTAGAGGTATTGGAAGGCCATAAAAACCAAGGCAAGAGGGGAATTACAATAGTTAGAAAAGTTCAAGGATGTGATCAGTATGGCCTATTCTCATGTCTGAGAAGGAAGAAATCTCATATTGAGCACTATGACCACAAAAGCATGCATTTCTGTTGCAAGACCATTAAAAGAAGTCAGACTGCCCACTTCCTCTCCTCCCAAAATGCCAGAAAATGCCCTTTCATACCTACAAATAGCTAATAAACAAATACTATTCCAGGTGCGGAGACTGCAGCTAATATACAAAAGCAAAAAAGTTTGTAGTTTGTGGCCTGTGAACTCTGGAGATATATAGATGATGATAATTCAAGAATTTCCAAACTTTCATTAAAAAAACTTATTGTAAATTGACCTTAACTGCATTGATGTACTTTTTTATCCGATAGATGAATGAACCAATGGTACCACAAACACAATCCTACCTTTTAGGTGTGAAAGCTTAGACTGCGGCCTTCCCAGATTCTGCCATTCAAAGTCCTTGCTAGAATAATGGCCATTTTTCTTGTTGCGTGGCCCTTCCAGAGCTGGGATGTGGGGAGTTAGGATGCTTTCAGTTATTGGTATGCAAATACCTGTGAGAAGGAGAAAGAAAAGTCAGAGGCTTTAGAGATGGGGGTTTGCCTTAATATAGTCTTCTCTGCCTGTGGAAGATAGGACTGAAATGCCCCATCCACCTGAGCATGTTGACACGTTCCTGACTGGAAATTCTGCCTGTGAGGCAGCTTTTTGTGCTCATCTCAGTGACTGCTCTCAGTGACCTGCTAGAGACAAACAACAAGTCCTGGGGCTGAGTCTAGAGCAGGGGCGGGCTCAGCTGGAGGGACAATTAATGAGTTTTGGAGACCTGTCAAGGGCCACATCCATCTTTGTCTGTCTATCTCTGTCTCTTACCCTGTCTGTCCATCTCCTCCTCTCCTCTCCTCTCTCTCTCTCCCTTCTCTGTCTCTCTTCACTCTGTCTTCTCTCTCTCTCCTTTCCTTTTTCCATCTCTTTTTTCTGTCTTCTTTCTCTTATCTCTTTGCTTTCTCTCTTCTCTTCTTTCCCTCTCCTCTGTCTCTTCTCTGCACCCCCTTCTCTCTCTCCCCTTTCTCTTTCTCTTCTCCCCCACCCACCCTCCAGAACCTGGCTGAAGCTGTAGTTTGCCAGGAGCCCTGACGCTCAGCTGTGGACACAGACATGGACTTCCATATAGAGCTACAGCTGAGTTTTGGGGCTCCTGGAAAACTACGGTTTCAGCAAGGTTCTGGAGGGAGGGGGAGGTAGAAAAGGAGGGAAGTGTTGGGAGGGAGACTGAGAGAAAAGAAGAGATAGAGAGAGAGGTGCCTGGCACGGCAGCAGCAGATCCTGCCTGGGTCCATGGCTGATGCTGCTGGAGCTTCCACCAAGAGGGAAGGGTGGCAGGTCAGCTGTGGATGCACCGGCAGATTCTGTCTCGGCTCCTGAACCTGCCCACAGCGTCCACAGCTGATACTGCTGCCACTGCCCAGTGTGGCAGAAGCCCCACTCAAGTCCACAGATGGTGCCTGATGCTGCTGGGTGTGTGTTGTTTTCAAAAGACCAAGGAGTTAAACTTATAGAATAAAGCTTGTTTATGCAGACAGCCTTCTTAGCCTGCTGATCTACTGTTCCCTGTGGTTCCCTACCCCACTTCCTGGGCAGATATAACAACTTATACATAACATTCTTAAAGGTATCCATACATCTTCCCCCTTTACATGTAACATATCCCCATGTAATACTAACATCGGGAGTTTAGTTCAACCCATTGTTAAAGCACATTTTAACAGGTCTCCATTAGTCTTTGTGTTGGCTTTTTATCTCTAAATGATCTTCTCAGATTCTCTGCATTCTCAATCCTTATTGCTAGGGACCTACTGGATTCACTATGGAAGTAGAGTGTGCAGCAACTCCTTTAATCTTGCATGTTCCCCTGTGCATACCTCACCACTTGTCTCCCCCACCTCGCTGCTAATTAGTGAAGACCCTTGCTGCTCCCTCCTGATCATCAGGGAAGCTAAAACCATGGTTTTAAACATGACACCATATTTGCCTCCCCACCAGTCAGCAGCAAACAGCAGGTCTGTCCAGGGCCTCTCAGCCAATCAGTGGCAGGAGGCAAAAATGGTGCCATATTTAAAGCCGCAGTATTCACCTCCTCACTGATCATGAGCAAGCCGCAAGCATGGACCCCCCACCAATCAATGAGGGAAGGGGTGTGTGGGAGAACCTGTAAGATTAAGGGAACCACATTGCACCCCATTTCCACCATGAATTTTGTAGGTCCCTATTTATTGGTTCAGTTCTTGTCTGGTTTCCTTGTTCAAATGTGTCACGCTTTGCCATTTTCAATCTCCCCTTTCATTTCTTGTTGCTTTGTTGTTAGCTCTGTTTCCTTTGGCGAGTCTTGTAATGCAGCTTCTTTTCACCCCTTTAT